GGCCATGTCCAGGTGTGGTTTTGGATGTCTCCAAGTGACCCCAAATGTCCCCAGGTGAGCTCTGGATGTCCCCAGGTGTCCCCAGGAGCATTTATGGTGTCCCCAGGTGTGTCCCAGGTACCCCCAGGTGAGTTTTGGGCGTGTCCCGATGTCCCCAGGTGAGGTCAGGGTGTCCCCAGGTGTGTTTTGGGTGTCCCCAGGTGACCCCCAATGTCCCCAGGTGTGCCCTGGCCACCCCCAGGTCAGTTTTGAGTGTCCCCAGATGTGTCCGGGTGTGTTTTCAGTGTCCCCAGGTGTGGTTTGGGTGTGTCCCAGATGTCCCCAGGTGTGTCCAGGTGAGCTCAGGTACCCCCAGGAGTGTCCGGGAGGGTTTTCAGTGTCCCCAGGTGAGTTCCTGATGTCCCCAGGTCAGTTCTGGATGTCCCCCCGTGAATTTTTGGTGTCCCCAGGTGTGCCCAGGTGACCCACGGTGTCTCCAGGTGAGTTTTGGGTGTCCCCAGATGTGCCCCGGATGTCCCCAGGTGTGTCCAGATGTCCTCAGGTGAGTTTTGGATGTGTCCGGGTGTGTTTTCAGTGTCCCCAGGTGAGCTCAGGTGCCCCCAGGTGAGTTTTTGGCATCCCAGGTGTGTCCCAGGATGTCCCCAGGCCATGTCCAGGTGTCCTCAGCCGAGTTTTTGGTGTCCCCAGGTGAGTTTTTGGTGTCCCAGGTGTGGTTTTGGCTGTCCCCAGGTGTCCCCAGCTCAGTTCAGGCCATGTCCAGGTGAATTTGGGGTGTCCCCAGGTGTGTCCCAGGCCACCCCCAGGTGAATTTTGGTGTCCCCAGGTGTGTCCCAGGCCACCCCCAGGTGAATTTTGGTGTCCCCAGGTGAGTTTTCAGTGTCCCCAGATGTGCTCAGATGTCCCCAGGTGAGCTCAGGATGTCCCCAGATGTCCCCAGGTGTGTCCCAGGTACCCCCAGGTGAGTTTCGGGCGTGTCCCGATGTCCCCAGGTGAGGTCAGGGTGTCCCCAGGTGAGTTTTTGGTGTCCCCAGGTATTTTTCGTGTCCCCAGGTGTGTCCAGGTGATTTTTGGGTGTCCCCAGGAGGGTTTTGGGTGTCCCAAGGTGAGTTTTTGGTGTCCCAGCTGTCCCCACGGTGTCCCCAGGCCACTCCCAGGGCAGTTTTTGGTGTCCCCAGGTGAGCTCACGGTGTCCCCAATGTCCCCAGGTGAGTTCCAGGTGAGCTCAGGTGTCCCCAGGTGAGTTTTCAGTGTCCCCAGGTGTGTTTTTGGTGTCCCCAAATGTCCCCAGGCCATGTCCAGGTGTCCTCAGGTGAATTTTCAGTGTCCCCAGGTGAGTTCCAGGTGTCCCCAGGTGAGTTTTTCATGTCCCAGGTGTGGTTTTGGGTGTCCCCAGCTCAGTTCAGGCCATGTCCAAGTCAGTTTTTGGTGTCCCCAAATGTCCCCAGGCCATGTCCAGGTGTCCCCAAGTGTGTCCAGGTGTCCCCAGGTGAGTTCCAGGTGTCCCCAGGTGAGTTTTTCATGTCCAGGTGAATTTTTGGTGTCCCCAGGTGTGTCCAGGTGAGTTTTTGGAGTGTCCAGGTCACCCCAGGTGTGTTTTCAGTGTCCCCAGGTGCGTTTCGGGTGTGTCCCAGGTGAGTTTTTGGTGTCCCCAGGTGACCCCCAATGTCCCCAGGTGTGCCCTGGCCACCCCCAGGTCAGTTTTGAGTGTCCCCAGGATGTCCCCAGGT